CCAAAATCCTTAATACATAAAAGGCACCATAAGACTATAAAGAAAGAAAAAATAAGAGGGAACCCCCGGTAGCTACGGTACTTGAAATTATTTTAGTCAGGATTAGAGTAAATTAATCTATGCGACCTTTTCCCTATGTATCAGCTATACTTTTGTGCACCAGCAATACCAAGTGTTGGGCGCGCGTATACCCGATTCGAATTTATTACTCATCAGGATCTTTACCAGCCTACCCTCAAAATTGAAATTATTTCAGGCAAGATTAGAGTGAATTAATCAGTGAGATCTTGGGAGTGGTTAAATACGTCAGTCGAAAGGATTTGACCTCCTGAGTTCAAAGGTGTAATTAGATCTCAAATTGGTCAAGAGATGACAGAGCTATGAGCTAAAAGTTTGTATCTGAAAAACTCGAAGCTATTCTAGGAGTCGTTATGCCGCGGCTGAAAATAAAATGTAAGCCAATGCACATACAAAAATCAAAAGTTTGGTGCATAACTGAAATCTTAACAGGAGGTGTACAATAATCATTTTATTCAATTATATGGAGCCTTACTACAGTATTTTTGAAAACTTAGTAGTAGTAGTATTTAATATGGCAATAATAATTATTCTTATTGTTAATTATTACAACTTCTTATTTATCCCATCTTCGAATTCTCAATGAAATTCAACTGGTCAATCTTACCAAACATTTAAGTGTGCTGTATGTATCAAAAACTGCATGTCTTGTGTGTCAAAGTCTGACTGTAGTATCTATGTAAACGAGTTTTTCCTGTTACATATATAAATAAAGGAAGTAGATATACCTTTTACTAAGTCTATAAAAATGGCAGAGTTTGCACTCAGAACATTGGACTTGAAAAAAATATTATACATATCTTACTTACATTAAATGGTTTTGATGCAAGTAAAATTGCTAAATTCAAGTTTTCCTCAATTGTTTATCATCACATTATTAAAGCTTTTGTTGGGATGCCTATACCCTGTGAAGAAATTTTGGTTACATGAAATTATTATTGTAACTGCCATTTCTAGTAATAATAAACTTGTAATATTTTTTTCTTTGACAGAATAAGGTGTATTTGTATGACAAAGTTTTCAAGCCTAATGCTACTCAAGAAAAGATATACAATGAAGCAGCAAAAGCCATTGTTAAAGGTAAGTTAGCAGTATGATGCCCTTCATTTTAGATCTTATATTCAAATTATGTTAACATGTAGCGTGTTTTGAATTTGCCATTCTAATGACCCATTTATACAGCATTCATAATGTAATTGTTTCAACAAAAAGAGATTCAAATTCATGAAAACATATCATTAAGAGGCAAGTAATCCTTAATACACTATTTTGTGTGTTAAGATTTGTCACAGTAGAAACATCCTACACCTCAAAACCAAGATTATTATACTTCTCTAACCGCCGTTCACAGATGGACAATACAAGCTCATACAGTACACGTGTCAGGCTGCTACTGAACCAACCATCCATTGGAAGCAAACAATGGATAGTAGAATCTTTTCCTTCACACGATGGTTTTATATTATTTTTCAACCGATTTTGACACTACAGGAGCTGATGCTTTATACGGCTGTGATGAACAACTTGTCTGGATTGAAGTCAGTCATGAAATTCAGCAACATTGAAATCTGTGTTCACAGCGAATGTGGAAGCTTCCAGTCCTGAACTTTTGTTTAAGTTGAGGGTAATGTATTTAATGTCATGAATCGAGGAATGATCTATTTTGAGTGACCTTTCCGATATTCCATTGTCATGATATAAAAGACTGTTTAGCTTAGGTATTATTGACTAATTTATTTTGTGAATGAATATTTCATTTTTTGTTTGTTTTTGTTATAATAAGAGTTAAAGGCGGATTATTGTTGGAAGTTGTGTTTATAATTCATTGATGTTGAGACTATCAAACGTCGCTTGAAATACATTGACGTCGAGAATATAGAGATTCCCATAAGGCGGGCAGGCGATTAAGTGATAGAGATACAAATAGTGTGAGATGAGCAGAAACAGCAGACAGACAATAGCAGAAGAGAGTAAAGTTACAGACAAGTAAAAGTTCAGCGTGAAGTTAACTACCGTAAAAGTTATAGGCCTAATGTTTAATATGTTAGAGTAAGACTAACAGTAGGAAAGGAGATAAGAATAATAATTTATTCTGTCAAAGCGTGGTTCTAAAATAATTGAATCGAAATGAGTGCACTTTGACAAAAGGAATATAGGATATTTTGAAGAAAGAAGACCAAACTATTATGGTAACTCATGCCACAATTGTAAGTGAATCATACACAGAATACTAGTGCAATAATAATAGAGAAAATAGTTCGGCTTGTCAGCTGAAATTCTAAAACAATTGAATAGGCCTAAGTGGACTTTTGACAACAAGAAGAGAACTTTATATATAGTGTTTATGATATGCCTGTAATCTCTATAGTGTGAATAATTTGTTGTACATATGTTTAACAAGCTGTAGGAAATTCATACATTCATTTTAAAATAATCAAAATATAGCATTTAAGTAGACGTGGAACAATAGGCAAAAAATATTTATAAATTATCCTCTTGATTCACAAAGAAAATAGAGAAAGTATTGAAGATTTAACAACAATTTCTGTGATTATTAGAAAACCAGTTTTAAAAAAGTCATTAAGAGTTTATGTTAGATGTTGTCATCTTCTGTAACAAGCAAAGAAAAAACACAACTATTGTGCTGGGTTCTCAAACAGGCAACGGTCTTGAGGACTGTGAACAGCCAAGTGTTCAATGCTTCATAAATGCTGCAATGTGGGAAAATGGCCAGTTATCTCCTGTAAATGTACTTATTAGCTGTTAAGTACCTTAGAAAACTTTGCACAGTTTGGTCTACACGCCAACAAAAACTATAGGTAGGGGTGATGACCTGTATATTGATCGCCCCTTGACTAGATAAGTGTTGTAATTAGATAATAATGATGGCTGTAAATTGTCTTTTATTGAGACACTTGAAATATGAATGTTATGAAACCAAAATTAAACCTGAATGAATTGAGCTGTTTTTTCTTCTGTTTTGGAAATAACATAGGTGCTAGAACTTGGGAACGAAAGCTGCCCATAAATTTATTAGGTGAGGGACAGAACCCCTCCTGATATTTTTTAAAACTTTAACATAAACATAACTTCAATGTAACATTGAAAAAATACAATAATAAATTACACTATTAATCTCTTAACAAAAGTTTTGTTTTTCAAGCAGTGACAAATAATGTTTTATTAACTTTGTTATGGGTTGAGATGAATGATTTGATGATCATGAGAGACTGGGACAACCCTTTTGTTTGCCTGTTGTTTTTATTTCTGAATCTAAAGATGTAATTGCAACATTGAAAAAACACTCTTTTGTCACAAATACACTGTACTATGCAATTTGTTTTTACAATAAATAGGTTAAATGTATTATGGCTTCTGCTTCCATATGATACCAGATATTTAGCCAAGTCCTTTAAGCAAATAACTGAATATTTGACTACCAAATAGTTGATATATATTTATTGAAAATAACAGTTACATTAGTTTTATAGAACACTGAATTGGAGTATACACATATAAGTGAATGTAATGAGAAGAGTAAACAGACTACAAACATTTATTATGAAGCTAACTGGTTTATCTTCATATCAAAGCAATCAGTAGTTTGTAAAATTTATGAATAACTGAATTAAGCACTTAAGCTTAGGTAATATAATTACAGTCTGTCAACAGTAATTATATCTTTTTATCCAAATTCATCAGAACTTTTTCATACAAGTCCTATAATTTTGCTCTTAATGCTTTTAACCTCAAACTAACAACTTGTTTTATATCATTCACCAACAGTAGGTTTTATATATTTAATAATTTTTATATTTTTACATGTTATAACAATTGTATTATAAATCACTCATCTTCTCTGTAAAATATTAAATGCAGTATTGATGGTCATTGACCCACAAGTAGTTTGGTATATGAATAGTAAAGGGATCCTTATTTTTCAAGTTTTGATTTACAACACTCATAACCTCATTTTGTTCCAATTTATAAATAAATAATTCACACCACATTCTATCCATATTGAATAACATTTAGGGGTTGATCAAGATTGTTGAAATGTTACTTATAGCTGCATATTCTGAGTATTTTAGAATGTTCCAGAATATTCTAAATAATCTTGGAATTTTCTAGATTATTCTAGAATGTTCTAGTGTATTTTTTATGGAATATTGTAGTATACTCAGAAATATTCCAGAATATTCAACATTAATTAGAATGTTCAAGAACATTCAATATATAAGTAATCCATACTGTCATATTTTATTTCGGGAATATTCTGTATCATATTTTAGAAATTATTATGACATATGTTTTTAAAGACTGCATGGGTCTTTCTTGTGGTCCAGGTATTGCAATTCTCAGTCAATTCCAGCAGTCTTGAGAACAATTATGAAACTGCAACAGATCATGATGGAGTAGCAGAAGGCATAGGGGAAGCTAAGTTCAGTGTCATTGAGTTTTCTACAAGACAACTTCAAGCCATCTAACCTAGAGACAGTTATCAAGAACTTCTTGATCTAGCCACAACCTTTCTTGTTGCCATCCCTGCTTGAAGAATGTAATTTATAGCACATGAAGCACTTCATCATGTACAATGGAAGGCCAAGGCATTATATACCCTCAAGATTTGGATATTTATGGGACAGTTTAATTTCACTGGCCATTAGGAAAGAGGACTTTTTGATATCTGCATCTTTATTGCTTGAGTCTATCTTAGGACATGGTTCACTACTCCTCACAATGATCTTAACTTCCTACAATGTCTTATTAAGTATAAGAAGATGAATTTTACTCTTTCAAAATCTGCCTATCAAACATTTGCTGAATATCTATGGTATCTCAGTAAGGAACTCGCTGGTTTGGCATTCTTTGATTCAGCTGTATCTACAAAGACAAAACAAGCAATGGTAAAGGCACTAGATGAAAAGGAAGGGATGGATGATTCTCTAAAGCACATTCAGTTGAGTATCAGGAAGGCTGAGAACATGTCAATTGAAGGTTTTGTCACAAAGGATATAACAGACTTCTTCAGGTGCTTCTATTTTATTTGGATTTCTGGATGACCTTGAGTCATGGGAGCTCAGAGAGAACTATAGGGAGGCATTTCAGACAGTTCAACACTTGAATGTGGTAAATTATAATGCTGAAAGGGATGTGGTCCTTATGGAGGAGTATAATGCCAACTTAACAAAGAAAGAAGAACAGAAACAATTACTCCTTCAAGTTTTTCAGGATGATAGAAGACACTTTCCTAACAGCAAAAAGGAAATGATAATAATTCAAAAGTGGCTAATCACACTAAAATCATATAACTGTGTAATTATGCTATTGTACATGGAGTAAAATAATAATACACTGTAAATAAGTTATTTATAATACATAAAAAAATTTTTCATACCAAATTGCACATACAATACCAGGCTACTGCAGTCTAGAACTTCAATCTCATTAAGTAACCTCTAAATATGATTCAAAATTGATGAAGTTTGACATTCAACGTTCCTTTGTACTTTGGAACAAAATTAGGGAGTGAAAACTTTAAAGAATAACCTGAAATTTTACTTGCAAATAAGGACCACTGTAATAAATAATTTAGAAAAACCTAAATAATTTACCTTTACATACAACATATTATATACTGTATGATTTTAAAACTGTGATACTATATAATAATACAAACAGAATTTTCCTCTCAAGATAACTCAAGTAAGAATCATTTTCATTGATGCACAAAAAAATATATTTTCTACAACAAAAGCAAATAATAAAACAACAAAAACAAAACTGTTAAACTCCTTTTTTAAACGAATTTTTACTTTTCAAACGGCTATAATTTAACTTATTAAATGAAATTTGATAAAGTAAACAATATTACTAACTGCAATATCAGACAGCATTAATACATCAAAATGTATGCTTAGCAGATCGAGTTTCACAGTTTAATAACCTAATAAAACAACTACACGTTTTTAACCCTAAAATTACCAACGAGATCCACATAGACCCCACCAACTTTTATTGAACACAAATAATTGTGATTTTTGATATTCTTTGAAATTATCATGTAAAATCTTAAATATTACAATAGCTCAATATTATTTTGTTAATATTTCCAGTAATCATGGTTTATGTTTTTCATGACTGTAATTAAAATGAAGCCTCTGAAAATCATAACCAGATGCTTTTCAGCATTACTAAAATTTAAGTTCATACCTTTTCATGTTAATACTGTGTTTCTTAATTTTGATGTAAAACTTTCTGTTACTTTTCTGCAGATGTCCTTATGGGGTACAATGGAACAATATTTGCATATGGACAAACGTCTAGTGGAAAAACACACACGATGGAGGTAGTTTATTGTTTTAAATACCATAAGTGTAAACCTAAAAATAAATTACCACTTTATTTTAATCTTTATAAATCTACAATGTCTTATATGCAAAGGTAAGATACATCATAATTTCCATGTACACCTTGTAGTAAAATATCAGGAAATTGGAGTTAAAATATTTTAAGTAAATTTGATTTAAAAACTCAGGGTAATGTGTAAGTGTGAAATATACATGTTATCAAACATTTAAGGATTTTGAGATACAGTATTTAATAAATCTGTTCTAAGAGTTTAAGGATTTGGAGATATAATATTGAAATGAACTTTGTGAAGAAACTTCAGGTACAATTTTAAATTAATTTATGTTTATGGTAAATTTTCACTCCAAAATTCAAGGTTCCAAACTAGCCCTATTTAAAGATATAAGTATTATAAAAAATATGAGAAGAATTAAAGACTGGTTAACATTTTGGCCTAATTCATCTGGATTGATATGAAGGAGAGGGCACATTATGAAAAAGTGTGAGAATATTGAGACTTGGGTGAGAGAGAGAACTCTGAGAGTTCCAAAATACAAAAGCTTTAAAACAAAACAAACTACTGGGCTTTTTCAGATAAATGAAAGTGTAATTAAGTTGGCAATATTTCTATAATGAAAGATGATAGAATTTAGCTATGTATTTTTTTTCTGGAATAGACTGATTCATGATTTGTTTTTCTAAGCGTTTGAACTTATCAATAAATATTTACAGACTTAAAGTGGATTAAAGATGATTTTGTGAAAAATTTGTACAGAAAAATGTGCTAAAAAATAGGCAGAACACCTTGACTGTTGTAAATGTGTTAAGTTTGGTGCCAAGCAATGAAAATACAGCAAGATTTATTTTCTGTAAGTTACCTAACTATTAAGACAGTGAACTAGGAATTGCAGTACGTATGTAGTAGTTATTCTCTGGAAATAATGATAACTGTGATGGACAACTCCTTCCTGGCCTCACTTTGAGCATGTTAAAAAACACTTTTTTCACTATTAATATATTAACAGGCCCTCATGAGCTAGTGGGGGACATTTTTGTTGAAAAAAAAAATCCAATCCAGTTTTTATTAATTTTAACTGAAATTTTTTGGACATTTCTATTGGCTAAAAAGAAGGCATTCCATGCACTCTTTTAGTGTTGGGGCTGTGAAAAGTGATTTGAAGTGGTAAGATGACTGAAATCTGTCAGTGGCAAGCTTAACAGCCAAGCACAAGAAGCATGGAAGTCTCCAAATGACACGCAGAGGTATTCAGGAACCATTTAGAACCACCTTGGTAGATATTGTGCATAAAAGGTTGGCAATTGCTTAATTAATGATGCTGAGAATGTGTTTTTATGGATATATACTGAATTTACTCCCAGTGGGTAGACCTTAGTACTAGCTCATATGGAGACTTGAGGATGCTGTATTTCTCTTAAAAATTTATCAAATAACAAACGAAAATTTGTCTTGAAGTTGTCTCAAAAAGATACATCTAAAACCACCCTCTTTGGGAGTTTCTGTATTGAACTTACTTTTAATATTCAACAAATTGTAGTGTAAAGACACCCCTTTGCTCCTGAGAGACGTATTAAAAATAATATGAGTGATAGCTGTGAAGAACCACTTGGCCTCACTTTGAGTGTGACCCAGGTGTGGTCTAGTGCTAAGTGTACTAGATTATGGATACAAGAATCTGTGGTTTGCATCCCATTGTACTATACACTTTGAGGCTCATGGATGCATTATTAGAATAACAGTCAAATCCCACTTATTGAATAGAGAAGCTCAAGAGTTTTTAGTGGGTGTTGTCTTCCATCTAATCTAGTAGTTCATAACTTGAGACTTTGATTGTATTAATTATATGGATGGTAACAATGAAGAACCTCCTGGCTTCATTTTGAATGTATTTATTATATGCATGATGGTTGTAAAGAGCTACTTTGCTTTAATTTGAATGCATTAGTAATATGAGTGATAACTGTGAAGACCCTTCTGGCTTTACATAGAATGTATTACTGATATGAATGATATCTGCAAATAATTTCTTGGCTTGAATGTAAACATATTTATTAATCTTGTGAATAATAACTATGAAGAATCTTGTGGAATCGCTTTGAATTTATCAACACTGGTGAAGTTATTGTTTTAATACATATTATGCATAAATATTGGTATTTTGTGTTACTTTTATCTAACAGAATATTAAAAAAATCAGAAAAATACAAATACAAAAATGTGGCATTTATGAAGAAGCTAACTTCTGACTATTTTATATTAATTGCTAAACTCTGGATCTTGTGCTGAATGATTGTCATAGTTAAGTTTATTAAGTATAATTAACACCTGCCACACAAACCAGCCCAGCATCTTTTAGTACTGAGCCTAGGATGGTCAACAAGGGGACCATTCTGGAAACCAATGAGTTAAGATTATTTTGATAGATCTCGATTAATTAAGCTCAGCACAACTTCTAGAATGAAAACAAACTAAATATTAATGAAAATATAACATGATGTAATCTATGTGGATTATACTATAGTGGTACCATACTGGGCATTATACAATCCATCTTACATTTACTCTTCATTGCAGAAGTGACATTTTTAATTTGAGAATTGCTGGGGAAAGCATCTTGTAATGTATTGTGCATCTTCTTCTACTTTAACACTGCATCTTTGGGCTTTACTGTGCTGTTAGTTTCACCAATATTGAAACTAATGATTTCTTGTATATGATTCTAATCCCCTTTTTGAAGATAATGGTACTATTGTGCCTGTTGTTTTATGTTTCACTGTCAATGCAGTAATCAATTGAAAAAACTCCAATTCAGCTTGTTTGTCAAGTCAGTTGGGATATCTTTGAATAAGTTCTTCTCTTATCTGACTTGGATCCATAATTTAGCTTAATTGCTACACTTAAACCATCACAATCGCAACCAAATCTGGAACATTTTAAGCATATTTCATTGCCACATCATTTTGCTTTACATTTTAAAACTAATTTCTCTATGTTGGCTCTCGTGGTCTCAAGTCAGGTCACATGTCTTTTATGGTGACCTAGACCTCAAAAATAGTGCCAAACACTTTTTTTTGTCTGATCAAAACAACCCAAGCCTTTCCTTTTTTTTATCCACACCAAGATGCCAGGCTGGCCTGTGTGGCGTGTGTTAAAACACGGTACAGTGTATAGGTTTACTTAAAACTTAAGAATTCTGCAAAAAAAAGTCAAACTTGGAGATTATTTAATAGCAGTTCAGCTATAGCCATTTTAATGCTTTTATTATTAATATTTCAAAAAACACGCCCAGCATAAGCTCTCATTTTAGTGACTTATTACAGAGTTTGTTTCAGAGAAGTTCCTTTAAAGAAAATAGTGTCAAATTAAATTTCATCATCATTATCTGTTGTGCACTATGTTTAATCAGTTTAAAGTTTTCTATAATATCTGTTTTGTCTATAATTTTACAGTTTGTTTATATGAATTAAAATTCATAAAATTTTAAAGGACCAAAAAGGAGTGTATTAGCATATCAAGGATGTCCCTTCCAGCTCCCAACTATAACCACTCCTTACTACTCATGTATTCATCCAATCTTTTCTTGAACTCAGTTAAACTTTCTGCCTCCACCACTCTTGAAGGCAGCCTATTCCTGTGCTGCCAAAATTTGAAGTTATGACCCCTTGTCCTATTGTTTTCACTGCTAAACACAAAAAAGTTTGATGGATCTATATTATCAATACCTGTAATAATCTTAAACACCTCAATCAAATCCCCTCTGACTGTTCTCCTCTCCAGAGAAAGCAAGTTTAGAGGTTTTAGTCTCTCCTCATAGGACAATCCCATCATCCCAGGTATCATCCTAGTGGCTCTTCTCTGAACCTTCTCCAACAATTCAATGTCCTTCTTGAGGGAGTGAGCCCAAAACTGTACACAGTACTCTAAATGAGGCCTTACAAGTTATCTATGCAGTTAAACAATAATATCCCTTGTCTTGTG